AAGTACTCAAACATTCCTTCAATAGAAAAGAAAGAAGGAAAGAAAGAAAGAAGGAAAGAGAAAGAATGAAAGAGAAAGAATAAAAAAATTAAAGAAAAAAGAAAGTAAGAAAGAAAAAGAATAAAAGAGAATGAAAGAAAAAAGAAAGGAAGAAAGAAATGGAAGAAAAGACAAGGAAGAGAGGGGAGAAAGAGAAAATAGAAAGGAAGAAAGAAGGTGAAAAGGAAATATGAAAAAGAAAGAAATATGGGAAAAATAAACAACAAATAAGAGAAAGAATTAGATGAAAAACAATGTCCATCCCCTCCCCCAAATTGATACTGACAGAAATGTAAATAAAATAGGATCAGGATAAACTTGTCTTTATTTATCAAAGGTTCCTAAGTAAATTTCACCTAATGCATTTATTTTAAGAATCAAGAAGACTTTATTCTTTAATACACACACACACACAACACATACACACACAAAACAAAAAAGCTTGAAGGAATGGAACAAGTAGCTATGTGGAATGTTTTAAGGAAAATATTCAGTGTGAGATATACACAGCAATTTGAACAGTCCATACAGGTCTCTCCTCTCCCATTTATTTCCTGGCTCTATATACATATGGAAAAGAAAACAATGGAAGATTCTGAGTCAGACTGATACCCAATTTTCACGCCATTTTTTGTTAGTCTCTGGCCTAACTCTCTTAGGCTTTTGAGCCCAAACAAGATCTGGTCTGTTTTCTGATCCTGCTACAATGAGTTTTTTTTTTAACATTGTTTTTTTCTAGCATATCATGAAGGAATTAAGGTAGAAATCACACTTATTTAGATCTCACCAATATTTTCCCTGGGCTGGAGCGATAGCACAGCGGTAGGGCGTTTGCCTTATAAGCGGTCACATGGCTGACCCGAGTTCGATTCCTCTGCCCCTCTCGAAGAGCCCGGCAAGCTACCGAGAGTATCTCGCCCGCACGGCAGAGCCTGGCAAGCTACCCGTGATGTATTCGATATGCCAAACACAGTAACAACAAGTCTCATGATGGAGATGTTACTGGGCCCACTCGAGCAAATCAATGAACAACGGGAGGACCGTGACCGTGATCTAATATTTTCCCTGTGCACAGACGCTAAAACTTAACTGGTCCTTAATAATATTTGTTGGTTAATTATGTAGACTTTTAGAAGAGCCTGCATATCATGGAAAGAAGTGGGTCTTCTGGAGCAGGATATTGTTTCGAAGCCTTTGATTCTACACTCTCCCTGATTATCCCTAGCTCCTGGACTATTTTTGCCTCCCTTGGTGGTTTTCATTATGTCTTTACGATTTCTCTCTCTAATCTTGCTTTTTTTGGCACTATCATTGCCATCCTTCCTCAGCTTTTATATGATACCACTGCCACATTGGGTACACCCAATCTTACTTCTCTTGGCAATTTTCTCTCCCTTTCGAAGCAAAGATGGAAAAATGTTTCCACATGCCTGGAGGAATTCTCTATTTACATGAAGTTTCTCCTTGAAACACTTTCCCTATGTTCATCCAAGAATGAAACCATTCTCAGTCTCCTCATCTGAGACAATACAGAGACATTATTTCTGTAAATTCCCAGATTTACACTCCATGGAATTATTTTGGCATTTCTCTCTCTGCCTTGAAAGGTTTGCTAATTCTCCATTTATAGACTCTCCCATCTGATCTTCATTTTTATATTTGATTCCTTGGTTCAGATCCTCAATATTCTGTATTTAATACTAACTTCTCCAGTATTAGTAACCTTATTTAAGTTCACTCCAGGATGGAGCGATGGCTCAGCGGGTAGGGCGTTTTGCCTTGCACGTGGCTGACCTGGGTTTATCCAATGTGTGCCATTCAGCACATTTCCAGTGGCACCAGGAGAATAGAATGTATGGTTTTGATCCTGAGGATGCAGTGGAAAGGATGATCGGGGAGACTTTGGCAGGGCAGAAGAAAAGGTTAGGCGTGGAGAGTCAGAGATCACAGGCCCTGAGCTCCCAACATTGCTACACTTCCTAGGGCATCTGCTTGCCTTGACTGGCTCCTGGTCCTGGTCCTCAGGGCAAGAGTTTGAGGCTGTGATTGCAAAGATCCTTCTCATTCCAATTGAAAGAGGACACAGATAAATTTACTCATGTCTAGTATGTAGTAGTGGCCTGGAACGATAGCACAGTGGGTAGGGCATTTGCCTTGCATGCGGCCGACCCGGCGACCTGGTTAAATTCCTCCGCCCCTCTCGGAGAGCCTGGCAAGCTACTGAGATCGCCCGCACGGTAAAGCCTGGTAAGCTCCCCGTGGTGTATTCAATATGCCAAAAACAGTAACAACAAGTCTCACAATGGAGACATTACTGGTGCCCGCTGGAGCAAATTGATGAACAACGGGAGGACAGTGCTACAGTGCTACAATCTTCTCCGGTGTGTGTCCATCACACTTAGTTCTCCTAATAAAACATCTATTGCCTTTTGTTGTGAGAGCAAAAACGTTTAAGACGTCAAATTGTTGTTTCCTGAGGCCCCGATGTGTTTCTTGCACCAGAACTCTGTTTTCACCTTTGACCTTTGATTGGTGTCAGTCCCTTTTCTTTCACTCCCCATCGTCATGACTACTTCCTTCGTGGCTTACTGCTGCCAAGGCCTTTCCTGACAAGTTTTATTACCGGAAGATCTATGTCTTCCCTTCTCTGAGCATTCTTGTTCAGTTGTGATTTATATTGCTGCGTGGTTCCCTACCTCCTCAGCTAATGATAATAATTTTTTTCAAATGATGGTGATGATGAGATGATGATAAAAATAAATACAATAATGGCTACTACGTGTGAAAATCCTACTATTTGCCGGAGGATAGGTCAGACCATTTATGAAGTTCAATAACCTTTACAATAATCACATAGACTCTGTAGACAATAGCTGTAGTTTACAAATCAGGTAACTGGAGCTTAGGGAAAAGTCAGGGTTCGTGGTCACAGACGCCACCACAAGTGGCAGAGCTGAGATCTGAGAAACAACTCAGTGTCTTGGGTGTCTATATGGATAGAACACAAAAGGCAGCTGACTCTCGCCAACATCAACAAAGGCAATAACTTCACTGTTTCCTTTACCATACAAGTAACTAAAATGTTTTTAGTTACTTGTATTTAAAATTTAACTAAATTTTCCCCCAGCAGCAAGGTGGCTGCCATCTCAGAGCTTATAGAAAGCCAGGTATGAGCCGGCGGTGACAGGGCAACTGCAGTCTCAATGGAAGGGGGCGGTACCAGCACGTCCTTCACGCCCTACGGAGGTCACGAGTTGCCCCCCACAAGCGGCTCTCCGGCACAGCCATAACACCAGATGCACAGAAACCAATCTCGTAATTATATGGTTCTTTGCAAAAATCCAAAATCATTATATGACATTATATGATTCTCATAACCAACTATAGAAAACAAAGTATTTCACAATGCCTTTTCAGCAATTCTGATTGTTGAGGGGGAAATTCTAAACAATAATGGTGCATCTTTTGTTGAAATAATGAATGTAATCAATGTAGAGAAAAGTTAAGTAGAAATCATCTGCCTCACAGGCATTGGGAGGGGTGGGAGGGGGTTCTTGGTGGTGAAAAATGAGTACTGGTGAGGGAAAGGTGTTTGATCATTGTATGACCGAGACTTAAACCTGAAAGCTTTGTAACTTTTCCCACAGTGATTCAATAAATAAATATAAGAAGAAAAAATATATATAAATAAATAAAATTATGAAAAGAAAAAAAGTAAGGTGGAGTTCATGTCCAATTCAATCAGCTAAACAGTGGCTGAATAAATAGCAGTACTCCTACATAAAATAAATAAATAAATAAAATTTAACTAAATTTTGTTATGGGTATAAATTTCCTTCTTTCCAGTCTAGAATTGCTGGAGATCACCTTAATGGCTTTTGAAAAATTTTTATTTGTGCAGTGGAATTATTTTGATTTTAAGATCTTGATTCAATATTTTCCTTTCTGTGAATGCCTACTCTACTTTTGCAATAGAGTATCTCATTAAACACCACTGTCCTTTACTCTAAGGTCTTAACATTTTAAAAACTGCATGTATGTCCCATGCTTTTTTTTATGCCTTTGCTTTCTTTGCTGCATCAACAGAGAATCGAATAATAATATAGCTTCCACCTGGACTCAGAATGGCCCCAGCAATTAACCTAGTTAACATGTAGGTATCTGGACCTGGATGCATTTTGAATAGGAAGAAAAATTTGTCACAAGATTTATTTGATCATTGTATGACAGAGACTTAGAAAGCTTTGTAACTTTTCCCACAGTGATTCAATAAATAAATCTAAGAAGAAAAATATATGTAAATAAATAAGATTATGAAAAGAAAAAGAAGTAAGCCCAATTCAATCAGCTAAACAGTGGCTGAATAAATAGCAAGACTCAATGCCTTTACTTTTTCAGACTGAAAACTCCCATTTCCTAAATAGTTTCAATCTTTGCCCCTTTTTTTTCGTCATTTCACTAGACAAGTGTTTTTTATTTTGTTGTTGTTGTTTTTTGTTTTGGATCACACCTGGCGATGCTCAGGGGTTACTCTTGGCTCTGCACTCAGGAATTACTCCTGGCGGTGCGCAGGGGACCATATGGGATGCTGGGAATCAAACCCAGGTCGGCCACATGCAAGGCAAACGCCCTTCCCGCTGTGCTATTGCTCCAGCCCCAGACAAGTGTTTTTTAAACCTTCCTCTACATCTTGTCTTTGCCAGGTCAAATTTTCAATATGCAAGGAGCTAATGAAATATAACTATTTGATACTTAACCATTATCTCTTTTTTTCCCTAATGTTAAGGTTCTTTTTCTTTTCTTTTCTTTTTTTTTGATATAGAATTTAGAGCCCTCCCAGAAAAATATTTTGTGAGTTGCTTTTGCAAACAAACTCTTTGGTACACAAGGTATTTGGCACTTTAGACTATAATCTCTGTCTGAGGCCTGAGACCCATATAGGTAAGAACCAAGATCCTTACCTTTCAGCTTCCAGGCGCATTTCTTCTCGCTTTTGCCTTCTGAGTTCCCTGCGTCGTTCAAAATCATCCATGGTGTGGATTCCGGTTTAGGGAGACCAGATAATGTCTGGATCTAAAGGGAAGGAGGTGGAATCAATATCTCAGAGGAGTCGGAGTATTATCTTCCACGAATGGCTTTATCGCCCTTCCCCTCATTGTTCACTTCTTTCCTTCTCTTTACTCTCAAGAAAAACATCCCAGACGCTGATGAACTTGCCAGGGATTATTGTCTAACAGGAGTTGAGTCTTTTCTGTGTTCATGTCAGTCTCATTCATAAAACTCCCAGAGACAAGCGCTGAGAATTTCCACTTAAAGAAAGTAAAGAGAAGAAAACTGAAAGAAAGAAAAAAAGCAGGAAACAGGGAGGTTCTGGAAGCCTTAAAATGTTGGTGGAATCATTGATGATGATTTTGTTGTTATTTGTATCTTGCTGGACCACAGACTGACCCAACTCGTAGACGGTGAACAAAGAGAGAGAGGAAAAGAAAACCAGAGGAAAATCAAGAAGCGGTAGAGTTAAGAGAAAAATCAAAGTGAGAAAGAGACCTAAAACAACACCTGCAAGATCTGCATATTCGAAAGACTTGTAATATCAGAATGATTAGGACTGTCATCCGGTCACACCATGGATAAACAAAACAGCAGCATCTTAAGAAGCACGGTTCTTAGGAACGAGCTGATTTTAGATGGTTGAGTCCCCGCTTTCTCTACCTGTGCCCCACCGGTTTTCCTCTTTCCTACCTCCTCGGGGAGGGTTTGAATCCCAGTGAGCTCTTCCCTTTCCAGCTTTTCAACTGAGCAATCCGCCTGTCCCGAGAGTCTGCGCCATGGAGTCAGATATTCCAGAATTCCCCTGCAGCCCCCAAACCCAAAATGACTAGCAGAAAGGGGGAAGCGGGCTCTTTTTGTCCTTGCTTTGTTTACAGAGCTGTCAGTGGTTAGTTAAACTCGGCCTGGAATCTGGCATTTAAGGCCTGCTTGAAGATTGTTTCCTGTGCGGAGCCAGAGGCCCGGCTTCCTCTGGAATCCTAGACTCGGCTGTGCTTAGATCACAAAAATTATTTTCTTCTTTGCTCTGCACAAGAGACGAGTTATTTGTCCCGTGGAAGAAAGTGGGCATGCTAAGCGAAATGAGTCAGAAAGAGAGGGACAGACATAGAAAGATTGCATTCATCTGGGGAACATAAAGTAACAAACTAGGAGACTAACACCTAAGAATAGCTGAGATATGTACCAGGAGGTTCACTCCATGGCTTGGAGGCCAGCTGCACATGCTAGGGGAAAAGGGAACTCAGAGAAGGGAGCACCAAATAAAGGGTGTTGGGAGGATCCTCCCAGGATGGGAGATGCATGCTGAAAGTAGACTATAGACCAAACATGATTGCCACTCAATGCCTCTTTTGCAAACCACAGCACCCAAAAGGAGAGAGAGAACAGTGGTGAGTGCCCTGCCACAGTCAGGGTGGGATGAGGAGATGGTGGGTGGGAGGGATACTGGGATCAGTGGTGGTAGAGAATGGGCACTGGTGGAGGGATGGGTACTTGATCATTGTATAACTGAAACCCAATCACAAAAATTTGTAAGTCTACAACTGTACCTCATGGTGTTTCACCAATAAATTTTTTTTTAAAATGCAATAAAATTAATAATGCACAAAAAAAGAAAAAGAAAGTGGGGACCTGGGTAAAACCCTCATGACATCTTGGCATGGGAAATTAAAGGCCACACTTCAGTATTGAAGTCAAGTTCAGAAACTTTTCTTAAAGAGATTGATGATTAAAATTTTTAAAAATTTTTTCCCTTTAAAAAAATCTACCACAAACAAAAGTAAAATTTCAGGCAATGCAAATAAAACTACCAATTTCACACCTCCCCCAACAATCCCCTAGATAATTATTTATACTGCTTATAAGTAATTTAGAAATTCATTTTTTGGTGTTTATTTGTTATTGCCAAGAGTTCTTTTAAGATTCTGTGGGTTATAAAGGAAAGAGTCATGTTCCTTATTTTGGATGAGGAAAAGGGAGAGAGAAAGATCAAATGAAAGAGAAAGAAAGGAAAGAAAGGAAAATAGGAAGGAAGAAGTAAAGAAAGAAAAAGAAGGAAAGAAAGGGAAGGAAGGGAGGGAGGAAGGAAGGAACGAAAGAAGGAAGGAAAGGAGGGAAGGAGGGAGGAAGGGAGGGAAGGAGGGAGGAAGGGAGGGAAGGAGGGAGGGAGGGAAGAAGGGAGAGAGGAAGAAAGGTAGAGAGGAAGAAAGGGAGGGAGGAAGGGAGGGAGGGAGGGAGGGAGGAAGGAAGGAAGGAAGGAAGGAAGGAAGGAAGGAAGGAAGGAAAGAAGATAAAAGATTTGTAGTTCTCCTGACAAACTGCCTGGTCTTCTCCCCAGGGTGGGCCCCTTTTCTGAGGACAGTGCCCTGTGTGGGGGCACAAGCCTCTTCCAAGGGGGACCCAGACCCAAGCCCAAGTGACTGAAATGCTGGGTGAAGAGCAAACTGTTCTTTTCTTTCTTCAGTAAAGTCTTTTGTTGAGTGTCAACTTGCAGCATAACTATAGCAACAGCAAACAGAAGTAGGAGAAACCACTGTGTCCATAGCCAGGATTTTACTCTCCTTAATTTATCCAAGTAGCTTCCTCTAAGCCTCAGGCTCTCCTACCTCCTGCAAACTAAGTGATCATGCTGGCTGCCTATTAGCAGTTCAAGTTTCTCAGCCTCTACCACTGGTGGAGGTGTTAATGAGCAGTGAAATAAATATCCCCAAGCACCAGGAAGATGCACATGGTTGGCAGAGTCCTGGGGGAAAAATGAAACTAACAGCATGTGGTCACTGGTGCTGGGTCTCCTCACTGGCTCCCTACCCACGCACATTCTTTCTCTCCAACTGACCATCCATCCTCTCCTCCTGCTCTGCATCTTGTATTAGTTACTTGGATCCTTCCCGTCGCCCCCCATCCCCCAACTCACCACCACCCCCCTCTTCCTGCCCCTTTTCTCAACCATAGTAAAACCTATCTATCCACAACTTCATGCATGTGAATACTACCAAGGATGTATGGGAACTGGATTGAATAAGCATTTAAATGTCCTCTATGCCATTGTGATTTGATAGCTCAGCTGGGCCATCATAAATTGGGGGTTGGGGGGGAGAAGGAAGAAGGAGGGCAAGTGAGACAGAGATAGAGACAGAGAGATAGAGAGGAAGAGAGGTAGAGATTCAAAAAGGAGAAAGTGAGCAAGAGACATATATAATAAGCTACTATCTGATGCATCTACGTTGATGTGTCTTTGTAGACATGTGGACATGATAGAGAAGAGAGAGCATATCTGTGTGCTTGTGTGTGTGTGTGTGTGTGTGTGCGTGCTTACGCATGCATGCATGCACAGGTATGCTTGTGAAAATGACTCTCCACTGGTCTCAAATCAGTGATGGGGTCAGAGGTTTTCCTTAACGCTCACATCCTGGTATCACAGGGCTTTCCTGAGCGTCTCTGACACTGTCCCCAAGGAAGAGGATCCAGATCTACATAGAACTGTACGTTCTCACTCCCTTTTTTGGAAGTGGCAGCTTCCATGTCCCTGGCTACTCATCTCTCATTTCTTCTCCTCCCCACCATCAATGCTGAATTCCTTCGAGCAGCATTGGTTTGAGGAAAGAAACTCTCAATCAATGAAGCAACCGCACGTCAAGGCAGAGAAACTGCAGAGCTATGAGTAGCACACACGTACACAGTAGTTTAAAAGAAACACAGGCTCAAGGAGATAACAATGCTGAGATACGATTTTAAAATGTTATGAAAGTCATGAAAGAACTCTGATGTGCTCCTACTTATAAGGAAAAGGCCTTTACAAAGACCAACGAATCATTACCTACTGCTATAACTGTCTTTTCAATAGGGATTCTCAAATAGCAGACTTTCAGGTTTCACCTATGCAGCTATAATTACATACTAAGTCAGTATTACAGACTTAAATTCACTTTACACACTGCCCTTCTTTCAGTATGTAAAATCAACAGCAGAATAGTTCTGACTTAGTGGAGGGTAAGAAGTCATCCTAGGTGTGTGTACAAGAGCAAACAAGCACACATGTTTGGGAAAAGTACAATTAGGAGGAAGATGGGACTAGGAAGCTATCTAATCCAGTACTGCATTTGTTAGAGGGAGAAAGCTTAACCCTCCCAACATCACACTGTGATAGACTGAATAGTGAATTGGAGTAACTTCAGGATTAGTCTTAGAATGCATCAAGGATAAGGTCTATTGTGTCAAGGGCACTGAAAGTTTAACTCACTGTATCACTGTCATCCCATTATTCATTGATTTACTTGAGTGGGCACCAGTAATGTCTCCATTTGTCCCAGCCCTAAGATTTTAGCAGCCTAGGGTGAAGGAATGAGACCCATTATTGTTACTGTTTTTGGCATATCGAATATGCCATGGGTAGCTTGCCAGGCTCTGGCAAATTAACTCAGCTCCCCAAAATGACAAATTGTTATTGAATATATACTATGTGCTAGGTCATATTTAAAAATAAAACTGTTTGGTTTATGTTAATCGTCTTTGTTACCTAGAGTAGTTTAATTTACTTATCTTTAGCGAATTTAGCATTTGTAATACTCTAGAATTCCAGAGGCATAAAAGTAGTTTCAATTTAAGGGGCTGGAGAGATAGTACAGTGGGTAAGATGTTTGCCTTACACATGGCCAATTGAGGTTTGATCCTTGGCATCTCATATGTTCCCTCTGACCTTCCAGGAGTAATTACTGAGTGCAGCGCCAGGAGTAACCACTGAGTAATGCCAGTGGTGGCCCCCAAACAAAAAATTTTAAAATGTAGTTTAAGTTGAAAAAAATTGAATACAGAGTTTTTATATATTCTCCCTCCTTCAGCCTTGCACACACTAGACTCTGCATTGAACTGGACTCTCCTCACCTCAGGGATGGTGCTACCCTGATGTCAGACTTCTAGTCTCTCATCTATGAGATAATGTGTCTGTTGTTTTAAGTAAGCTTGTGGTCCTTTGTTACAGCAGCTCTCACTAATACTGTTATTAACATTTTGCAATAGTGTGGTAC